AGCCTGTGTCAGGGGGCCGGTGCGCGGGGGGCGGCCCCGCCGTGGAGGGTTCCTCTCAGGGACGAAGGCTCCCGCCCGAGCAAGCGCGTCCCTCCCCGGGTGTTGCCGCCCGCCACGAGGCCGGTACCGAAGGGCTGAGGGAATATTTGGGGGCAGGGGCAAGAGCCCCCAGATTCTGCCCGGGAGCGCCCTCGCCACGTCCCCGTGCAGTTTGAATTTGTATTCGTCCCCTACGCTTTTCTCTTTATTCTCCCCCTCACGGCTTTCTGTTTAGGTTTTAGGTTACAGTTCTAAGCTGTTTCCTTCTTCCCTGTCCTTCTTACCTTTCATCAGTCGTCTTGAAAAACAGGGAAACATCGGGAACGAAAACAAAAAGCCCGCTGCTTTGGCAGCGTGTGTGTGTGTGTTTATGTTGTTTTGTTTTTTTTTAATGCCCTTGTGCATTGCTCTGTTTTCCTAGAGCTGTCGTCTGGACTGACTGAAATCGGTAAAACTTGCTGAGCAGAGACTAGGGTTTGATAAAAGTACTAAAGGCAAGTACTGTCTTTGCTCCATTTATTCACCTGTTCTTGTCCCCACCTGCTAATTCCTTTGCTCTGCTTACTCTGGGGCAGCGCTTCTGCAGGAGTGCACAGGGCAATTGCTGTAGCTGTGTAACGTGGGTGATAAGGCATTTACCTCATGAAACATGTGTAATGTGTGGGGGTTTTTTTGTTTTGTTTGTTTGTTTTATTTTGTTTTGGGTTTTTTTTTTTTGAGTAGACAGTATGGAGAGACAGACCATTCTGCTAGTGCCTTTTGTGTTTGAAGTTACTTAAAATATAGTTGAAATCATAGGTTTTGGTTAAACAGTGAAGATGCACAACTGGTAGAAATAGGTGATGACTTGTTAGAGTGGTTGAGACAATACATGTTTCCAGTGTGTGACAAAATTGCTAAGTACGGGTAAATAATCTAGGGAGGGTATCATTTAGCTGTTTTAATTTGGTTTTCATGATCTTACTTTATGCATCTTGTACAACATTAAACACAGAAATGGATAATTTTTTTTTAAAAATAAAAAGTGAAGTGTGAAATGGTTGATGTCGCAGATATTGGGGCATGGAGAATATGAGTTTATCTCGAGAGACTGAGGTTAGCATACCTGACTGCTGGGTTTAGACTAGCTGCTAGGAGCAGATTTACAAAGGCAAACAAAGTTTGTCTGGGGTTTTTGTTTTTTAATGTAACTTTTTTTCTTTCTTTTTTTTTTTTTTTTAACCAGTTAGTGAAATGTTAAAAGGCATTGTTTGGAAGGACCAGAAGTCCCAGTTGATATAATTAACAGCAAATGGGTGGAGAGCAATGCTAGACAAATTCTTTGTCACACTAAGAATTCCTCTTCAAAGGAAATAGTTTAGTTTGAATTATTGGTAAGTGAATAAGACTCAGTCTAGCATGAAATCCATGTTCATGGTTATGATAATTGGATGTGAGCTATTACATATATGGTAGTATCCCTTTGGATTTTATGGGTTTATTGATGTGAGAAAGCTGTTGGAATTTAGTCTGCTCTAGTTAAACTCTTGTAGTTTGAAATAAACTGCACCCATCTTCAGCTGTCTTTAAGTTATAAAGCTAACTTTAAATTGATTAGGAAGAAATTCGAGCTAAGCTGAGATAGTGTGTATGGGATTTGTGTTCATTTAGGTACGCAGACTTTAAATTGAGTTAAATTTCATTTAGCAGAAACACTTTTGTTTTGTTGAGTTGCGCTGTATATCCATTAGCAGCACAGAGGAATCTGCTGGAATGATGAAATTTGAGTACCAGTGTGTGTAGAGGAGCAGGCAGAAATGATGTGGATAATTAATGCTTGATTTGTTTATGTTGATAAGTTGCTTTACTCTTTGCCTCACTGGAAATTTGTCTTACACGTTAGAAACAGAAAAGGATTCATAGGTAGACAAAAAACACACAGAAAAAGGGAACTCTATTCTGTATTTAAATTACAAGTCTGCTTCCAAGTACGGAGTTTGTTTCTGGGCAGTTTGGGTTTCCCATGTTAGTACTTGCCTTTGGGGGACTTCCCTGACAGCCCATCTCTTGGGTACTTAAGGGTGTCTTATGAGCTAAGGGTGCATATTTCCCCAAATGGTGTATATTTAACTTTGAATGTTACAGTCTCAGTGTTTAACGGCTGTTCTTATAAAAATTGAATTATGCTCCAATACCTATTAGAAGAATTCATGTATTTTCTCAGAACAATTCAGGTTTTTGATCACCTTCTGTCTGTCTGTATCCCATGTTATCTATAACCTGATGCTTTTTTTTTCCCCACCCAGTATTACTGTATTCCTGTAACTTTGTAGATGGTTTTATCTGTGATACTATCACAACTTTTAAGTTACATTTTTAAATATTTGCTTCCAGTGGAATATGTTGAAGTTTGGAAAAAAAAAAAAAAAACCCAAAACCAAACATTTATACAAGTTAACTACTTTTCTTCCTTGAGCTTGGTAGACTGGCTTCAGTCATTTACCTCCATTTTTACTATTAGGCTATTTTACTTCGGGCTACATCAAAACCAGTGTGTTATCCCTGCTTGTGTAGACGCGCCAGCTCTGCTAGCACACATTTGCCGATGGAAGAACCATCTTCTATTCAAAGTTAATAGAATCGTCTTTTATTTTAGAATGTGATAAAAGAATAATTGTTTTGAAATTATATGAAAGAACGGAGTGCTTGGTTTTTCTGACACAGTGAGAAACATGTTTTTTGCACACATCTGTCATTACTGTCAGCACTAAAATGTCATTGCTTTTAGGTTCTGTGGCACCAGATATTTTAACTGTTTTTAATGTGCCATTGACATGAGTTTCTCCTCATGGACAGGGGCATTATTTGGACACATTTTAACTGTATTAATGTTCATTTTCAGGCTTATGTGTGAACAGGCAGCTGAGCTTTTGCTCTTGACCTCAGTTACACATTTGATGTATTTCAAATACTAAGTGTCTCAACATCATCTCAGGTCCTGCTTTCATCTGGAATCTGATAGCCAATGGTTGAAGAAGAGTTTCCAAACGTCCTGTTAGCTCTAAGTCTCTGGACTATAAAGTTTTTTTTCCCTTTTCTATATGCATCCCAGCAGCACACATAAATGTTCAGCTTTGGCACCGTGCTTGAAATCAAGTGTTGGCATGTTTCTTCCATCAGCCTGCTTAGTCTGTACTAGCTATACTGCAAACATTCTAGCTCAGGGAGGGTATGGATGTTAAGCTTCAGTTTGGACTCCATGCTGCGTGAACTTGCTTGTTGGAAGAGTATTTACAACCTGGGGGGGGAAAAAAATTGTCTTTAAAATACCACTGTCTTGAAGTTTTAGAGTAGGGAATAACTCTGCTCTGAGAGTTATTGTATTCCTTTGTATCAATTTGTATATGACAGAAGACATTTATCTTTTCAAATCAGTTGAGATGGTTTGACTTCATAGCCATTGAAACAATTTTCTCCTCTGTGCTTGCTACGGGTCTGGTTCAAGAAAGCTGTGCATTTTATTTAATATTAAACTGCTTTCATTGAACTTTAGGGAATTGCCCAAATGAAAGAGACAAGTAAATCTTTTCCCTGGTATCATAAATGTAATAAAAAGTTTTTCTTTCCGTTAAATTTAATTCAGAGTTGCTCTAGGATTTTATTGGCACTTCATATAAGCAAGTCCTGCGCTCCATTTCTCTCCTGCTGTACACTAATGTTTTTAGATTTGTAACAAGTTTTTACTGTTTTAATTTCAATCGAATTCCCATTTCAACAGGTTGCTAACTGTAGATAATTGAAATTCTTTTTTTCTTATAGAGGAGATTATACTGGGAGTCATGAACATCAATGATTTTGTAATACTCCCAGGCTCAAAAACTGGAACCTCGGTGAGATCAAAAGCAAAGTAAGTGCACTTTATCTGATTGTGGTAGAGATGTTTTTTCATCACTTTTAATAAGTTTTAATGCAACATTAAGTAGAAGAGCTTATTTGTGTAAAAGCAAGAAGTATCACCGTATGTTTATTTTCAGTATGTTCCTTATGCTTTTATCCTTAAGCCTTTCTTTTCTTAGGCTTTAATCTACTTTAAGTTACATGTCTTACAGCTCTGTATATCTGACATACATACTTTGTAAGCAAACAATACTAAAGGATTCATTGGGATAGTTTATTTTAGTATAACTAAGCGACAAAGCTTTCCGAAGCCAGACACAGTTGTATCAGTTTTATGTTGGCCACTCTGAAGTTTTTACTGGAGTAGTCATATCACTGTCAGCATACCCCTCTGTAATGAGATATTCTTGGGTCCATGGAGTTGGCACCTGACCTGGCCTAAATTTTCCAGGATTGTTTTCAGTCTTGCTGGGAGATAGAAGAGTGACATGCCTTTAATGACAAATTTTTCAACTTTTTTTTTTTTTTTTTCCCCCCCCCTTGCTGTTTTAAACTTCTTCGGGTACCTTATTGTCTTCCATGTAATTTCTAATGAATATTTTACTACTTCTCCAGAACTGTCAGAGAATTACAGTTGGAGAAAATGCAGTTAGAAACAGAAAACAAAGAGATGGAGAAGAAATTACGGCAACTACAGTCAAACATGAGCAGAGAAAAAGAAGAGAGAAAGTAAGTTAAATTTCTGTTTCAGAAAAAGGAATTCAATAAGATGCTCCCTCCACACCTACCCCTGCCCCAGATGGGATCTCTTGCAACGTTTGGAATTCACAGTAGTGTTCAGTTTCCTTTCCCCAGTCTTTCTTACCAATGATTAACTTGCTACCCTGTGACTTTCTTATTTTTAAACTCCCATGTGAAATTCAGTGTTTTTTTTTTTTTTTTTTTAAGAGGTAAACAAATAAATCCTTCCTGGCAGGGATATTCCTTCAGAGGCAGAGATCCCTTTTGCTCATTTATTCCTTCTTCTCCCTTTTTTCCCTGTCTGATTGGATTTTTCACCTTTGTTTTAAAGCAGGAGACAAAGTAGTTTCTCTTCCGCTATTTCAGTCTCATTTCTGACGTTTCTGAAGAAGTTGCTGTTCTTAATATCGCTTTGATCCTGTTTTGCATGCATCTGTGTAGCTTCTTGGAAAGACATTTTCTGTGTGATGGAAACATGGCTGGGAAAGTAAGCATAATGTAATGAAGCAAGCGCTAGGGTGGAAGTTTCAGTCTCAGCTGTGTTATTGGCTCACTCTGAATGTTAGCAAATCTCTGCAACATCTGCTTCCATTTCCTTGTACTTCTGCCTGACATATTTTGTCGCTGGAGACACGAGTGTCTTGGATACCTTAGTGCCTCAGTCTTGGTAATGCTAAGGGCCTGCTGTTTGCAGCTCTGTAAACTTTTGCTTGAGCTGTTGAGGCAGTGTTTTCCAGATAGTGCACGGCATGTTTTTCCCCATATTGTTCTCATGCAGTTTTTTCTTTTATTGTTCTCATGACCTTGTACCTGCAAACCCTGATAGTGTTTTTGTGGTGAGTTAAGTGACAGGAATCATTGGCGTTTGCACCAGTGCTGGGAAGATTGTCCCTCTTCCCTCCTACATGTTTTCTTTACCCCTTGTTTTGTATGCTTTAGTTTGCTTTGCACTATGTTTGGTTTTCTGTAAAACGAAGTAGATCAGGCATTTGAATGCTTGCTAAACACTATGCAATAGTGTATTATGCGGTGTGCTGAAGCTGAAAATCACCGTTTAATCTCCCTTCGCCTTAAACTCTTCTACACTATCTACCGTTTTCGTCATAGTAGTCAATAACTAAACTGATCTTCACTGAAATCTTAGTTGTAGGTATGTATTCCTGGCTTATTAAAAGATGCTGCATTTTAGCTGCGCTGGATGAATGCCCTAGAGTAAATTGGGATAATGAAGACTTACCTAAAGCGTACTTCTGTTACGTTGTTATTCTTTAAAAACCAACCTTAGAGAATTGATAGGATTTTCTTATGTTTAAAAACTTGGACCAATTTGATGGTCTAAAAATAAGTACTTTCTTATACATGTGATGTTTTTACTACTATTAAAGTAGATGTGAAGGAGGTTTTAATGGAAGGGAGATATTTGTTTGGGGGAATTGATGATCCTATAGACAAGTACTTTATTTGTGTGATTCTCTGTTGTTATTTAAAAACCCGAACGGAAACATTTATGCTGCTTTTGCTTACAGAAGACATATTTTTGTAAGTTCTTTCTTGCTCTTGGTTCATAGGAAATCAAGTGCTTATTATTGGAAATATGGACAGGCAGGACCGATGACCATCCGAGCCCGAGTTTTGTCACAAAGCAAAGAAAACAATAATAAGGTAGTAACCTGTCAGTATATTTGCAGGTAAAGCTATTTAAAACAAAACAAGTTTTGTTTTGTTTTAACATTAAAACATTTACACTACAGAACATGGGGGTTTTAAATACTGTAAAAATAAAAAGGTTGAGTACCTTCTGAGTAAAATTTCTGATAGTTTGTTGTTCTGTGCCAAGCTTATGTTTCCCTTTGAGCTGGAGGAACATCAAGTTTTGTTTGGTGATCTGTTGGGTTTTTGATTGCAATGGATAGGAGAATATAATTGTGTCTACAGATTTAGTATTGTAAGAGTCTAATTTGGTAGAGATGGAACTCATCGGGAGCCTGTCTTTCAAATTATTTGGGCCTTATCTAATGTCTGTTACGAATCTGAAATGCAAGGCTTCATGTGAAGTTCTCTATCTTCATAGATAAAAGCTATGAAAAAGGCACACCACATGAAAAAATACTACAGTTAAAGTTTTTTCTTTAACTCGGTCACTATGTAATGGCATCTGCATTCACAGTAGAACTCCCATATGATTCTGTGGTTCATTCTGTCTCCCCCTCCTCCCCCAACTTCTGCATGTCCTATAATCTTATGATGCTTCTGGATTTCTTTCAGTAAGTACAGAAGGGCACTGAGGACCCAACTTGGTTCTTGGTCCATAGTAGCTGGAAAAATCCTATGTTCACCCCCTGAGGACTGATGCTAGTTGGTCAAGTGTAGGTTAAACGGATCTTTGAAGTAGTCTCTTGGACAAGGACTGGACTCAGTCCATTCTCTTGAACCGAGACTGAATGCTTCTGACTGTTTTAAAATGTGGATTAGGTTTATCAATTGACTTTTGTTCTACGACATCCCTGCTCAGACCTAAAAGGAGGGATGTAGAACTTCCCTGCTAAGTCATTGAAAAATTTGTTTTCTTTTTAATATGTACACAATGGGGTATTTCCCCCTTATTTCCTTTTGGAAATGACCAAGGCAATTTTGCTCAAACTCTCAAAAAATATTAAGGACCAGGCAAGCGTATTGGAATGGTTAAAAAGCTGAAGACAGGACCTTGTAGGGAGTGTTATCCCTTCCATCTGTAATAACCTAGTCTTAATGGTTCATTCTCTGGTGAAATAAATTCTTCATTTTAATAGCTTAGGCTCTTGTCCTTGAGGCTTTATACATCATGGAAGCAAGCATTAGGTGTATCCGTCATCAACTAATGTTCACGAGTGCTGTTAAAATAGCAATTGCGGTAACAGAACTTATGTTCTTTATTTCTTCCATGAATTAGTATGAAAAATCTGTAGAGGAGCCCCAAATCCAAACTAATTCAACTTAGAGATACTTCCTCTTTGCTTCTGCAGACATTGATGTGTCTGGAGAGGCATGCCCACTGGACTGAGTGGGACATAAAAGGAGACTTTTCTCTTAACGATTATTTTTTCTGGAAGCCGTGCTACGTGTGCTATGTTGAAATGAGAGCTGGTAATTAAGAGAGACCATTTGAAACTGTCCAAAATAAAGCTTATTTGTCTGAAGAGAAAAACAGACAATGACAACTTTGGACTGAGCCATCGCAGTTGCTCTTTGAAGTCTTTTGAAGCAGCAGCAGTTTGGTGCGAAGGTCTTCTCAGCCAACACACTCAATTTCAACAAAATTGCCTACTTGCCTGTGAGTAGAAGAGAGGATCAGAATGAAAGGTTTTCTTTAAGTCACCTCTTTCTCTTTCCCCTTCTCTGAGAGAAGGAACTCAGAGCTGTTACTACTTCAAAGATGTCAGATTTCAGCTGTGATGGCTAAGGAGAAGATGCATGGGGTAGAATTCTCAAAAGGGCAAAAATGAAATGCCTGCAGATGCATGAGAGTGGCAGGGGGGAAGTGAGGGTGCAGTGTGGACTGTTTGCGGGGAAAACTGAGGAGCAAAAATGTTGAAAACGATCAGTTACCGCGGTGCTACATCATGGAAGGGTAATGAGGAGAAGCAGAAGGAAGACACTAACCACCACTACCACCCCCCCAACAAACTATAGGTACCTATATGTGCAGTAGACTTCACCGGTTGACGTTTGAGCTTAAGTCACTGTGGTTACGAAGTCCGCACGTCTGTGTGTGTGGAAACACTCGCTATGTACCTGGCTGGGCCAACAAGGACAGCGTCATTGCATGAATGGGGAGGGAAGTTGGTCACAGACTTAATGGCTGTCATGAGCAACACATGGATTTTTCTCTTTAAATATAAGCTTAGCTATTTTCCTAGTAATGGTAACATTTTAATTCTGTAAAAGTTATGCTTTTATTCATTTTCATTAGCACCTTAGGTTTCTTTTTAATATTCATACTCCAGTACCTTATGTTTATGTGTATGCAAATACTCTTCCATATAGGTTTCTTCAGGAAAAGTGAGGTTGCAAATACTCAAAGAACAGATTCAAGGTAAAGACATCTTTGTTAACTAAATAAAAATTCACAAACTTCTGATAGAGTATCTCGTTCTTGGAGATTGCTGCAATTAAGCAATAAAGAAATCGGAGACTGGAGTCCTGTGTTTGGTGTTTTGGCTGTCTGGTTTTTTTTTGTTTGGTTTTTTTTTTTTTTTTCCCCTCCCAGAGCCAGTGAAAGAACTATTTAAGCATGAAATGGCAAATGCTGTAGCTCATGAAAAATCTGAAGAGAAGGGGGTAGCGCGGGGACCACCTGAAATAAAGAATGCACTGCTGGTAAGTAAATGATTTAAAAATTACTCTATAGCCACAGAATATAATGTGTATGTATGGCAGCTTTGTGGCAGTACCTAGACATACATTATATAGTATAATATGTTGTAAAACGAATTACCCTGGGTTTGCCCAGGCTGTGAGCTGCGTGTGGTCTGCACAGACAAGCTGTCTGGCCTGGAATTCACTTCCAGGCTCCTTCCTGAAGGGACCTGTAGATGGGAATACGGATGTGCGTGCCTGAAACGCAGGCGTGAATACTACGTTAGCTTTCTGTATGTTAGCCTTTCTGTACAGCGCCGTCGTATTGTGGTAGGCTGCGGACGTCGTCGTACTACCTGCCTCCGCCCCTTCGGGGAAAAGGAATCGTTTTGATGGCAGTATTGCTGCTGTGAAATGAGAAAGTCAAGGAGCTCGTCTGAACTTTTACCCTTAGCTTTTCTGGTGAATTGAAAAATTTTAATACCTTATTTTTGCAGTTTGCTCTGGGAGAAATAAGACTTCTCTAAGATGGTCAGCTTTAGGTGCCGTATTGACTGCTAGATGTGCAGCAACTTAAAAAGAGGAAAAAGTACTTACGTATTTGAGATTAATTTGATCCTACTTTATCTAAATATCTTGCTAGAATTGAAATTAAAGTACTAAGTTTTTTTTTCACCTGTTTCCCAAAATACATTGGTGATACCCACTTTAATTCTAGGATTTCTTGCTCTGATAACCTCGCAGAAGGTAAAGGGAGCTTTTATACGCTGATCTCCCTGAATGGCAAGGAAACAGATGAAATGATTCTGTTACCAGAACTGTTACCAGTTCTTTAACGGGGCATTTCTTTAAGCTGTATTTTTATTAATTTGCCCAGCATGTGAATGTGACTGAAGAAGGCTGATCTCTTACTTAACTAAAGAACGCTACCATATGATTAAAATAAGATGTATGGTTGCAAGCAAATGGGGCAAAACTGAGTGGTCCGTGAATATTTTGTAATTTTAAATGCTTTGGTAAGCACCAGGGCACATTCTTAATTCTGACTGCTTGCTGAGTTGGTACTTGCCGGCTATGTTAGAGCAGAAATTAGTACTGTCAAGTATGAGATGATTTATATTTAATAAGGAGATTTTGCCTTTTAGCAGGTATAAATAGGAAACTTAGCCTCCAAAATATGAGGTAGCCCCATACAATTCGGTTTTTGAAGTAACGTGTGCAAATAGAGTAGTTCCAGTGTTGAATAAGAAAATAAATGTTTTAATTCTACAAAAGTAGCGCCTCTCTTAGATCCTCCCCTCCCGCCCCATAGTACATGAGATGAAGTATTTGTATTGCTCTTATGGCAAATTAAAGCAGCTGGAGCTGCTAATGCTCAAAATGAGAGGAACAGGTATTTTACTTGTATGCGTCTTTTTTTAATGGTTTTCCTTAAGGAAAAAGAAAATACCTGTGGATTTTAAATTTCTGTTAAGATTGCCCGGCTTCCGAGCCACTGGGATTTTGCTTCCTTCAGGTTTTTGTTTGTTTGTTTTTTGTTTGTTTGTTTTTTTTTAACTTGTGTTTTCCCCCTTGGTTTCGTCACTGCTCACCTGGGACGAGTGCCCTGTCCGTGTAGCGAGGGCGCTGGCTCCTGC